ACCTAACTCTTGATCGCATCCCCCCAGTCAGTTCCACAAACGAAAGTTCCTAACTGTATTTTTGCTTTTCAACAAATATTTTGAACAAAAAACATCAAAAATGTAGAACGACTTTACAATTACAAGAAATCGTACAATTTGCTGTCGAAAAAAAATAGCGTTTTAGTGGACCGCAATCAGTGTATGTTAAATAATGGAAATGGAAACCTAAGAAACCTCCGTAAAGCGACCACTCTTTGGATATTATCTGGTGGTCGATAACTAGAGGTTGGCTGTTAAATAGGTGACCGCGTAATAGAAGTTCAATAATGTTTCTTGGTTCGGAATTCCCCGAAAAGGAAATATCCCGTCTGGTTATGCTTGTAGAATTATTTTGAAGTAAGCGTAAGTGGTTTTTGTAAATGAAATCTTTATAAATAAAATGTCAAGGAATCGCTTGCTTTAGACTTTGTTTACGTTATTGTGTGATGAATTATCTGTTATTATTGGTACGCCAGTGGCATTCCCTAGATTATAGTTTCTTTGTGTAACGGTTACGCTTTGTTTAACGGCCATATCAAACAAACTCAACTTTCATATTAAGTTCAGGCCCCGTCCACACTATGCCGGATAAATTTGAATCCGAATTTTTATTTATTCGGTTAGGCCTACCGTCCACACCAGTCCGGGCGAACCCGGAACGATTCTTCACCGAAAACGAATTTTTTCGAATACGGTCTCCAGAGTGGAACAATTTGAAAACGCCGGTTAGCCGTATTAGTGTGGACGGAGTAAATTTCGTATCCGAAATTTTTCGAATACCATGACGTCATGATTGTCATGGGAACATGGCGGGAAGGCTAAAAATTCACCGTGAGCTCAATTTCAGCTTCGATGCACATGCTCAGATGTGCAATGAAGCGTTTTTGCCGCCTCTGATCGGACTAGTGTGGACGCGAAACATTTTATCCGTTTTCATGTGTGGACCGAAAACTTTTTTTTTTCGGTTTCGGTGTGGAAGTTCCCGGCCTGAGGCGAGAATCGACTACGCAGTTCAAGCCTGTAAAACGTTAGAGAAAAACGTCTGCGCATGCGTGCCTTTCAGGACTTTTTCTAAGAATTTTATAGAGGAGTTTTAGTGAGAAAACAAATGTTCGTTTTCTCCAAGAATACAAAAATATAAGCTACTATACTTTTTTGTGAGTCCAAAATACTACCACAAGCCACTCGACTTGTGACAAAACAATAAATAAAGGAAGCATTCTCACACATTGCACAACCCGCTGACCAGCAGGACAATTTTTTGGATGAGAATATGATCACGCGGAGCTCGAGTCGGCCATTCTGAGTTCGAAAAAAAAAACTGGGTTGAATTGATATTGCATTACGTTGCTTTGCCGAAGTAAAAGCCATCTTGGAAATATCTCCTTAAACAGTCCCACAATGCACTGCAATGTCAACTCGACCCAGTTTTTTCAACAACCTTGGAATGGCTAATATCGGTGTGTTCCAATCA